TGTAGACAAAAAATGTATAGGGAGCACGATAATACCGCATGTGCGATATATAAATGATCTCTTCTATGTATTTATTCATCATTTGTAATCATATTGAAACGAGACTATGGTATAAACTTGCGATCAACGTATTACAGAAATCTAAAATATATGCAAATACATGATTGGCTAAAAATTATTTCTAACCAATCACGGATTTATTAATTTTTAAAAAAATATAGGAGTTTGAAACTTTTTTCGCACTTCTGTTTTGATTTGTAAAGTTTAAAAAAATCATGAAATAAGAGTAAGGTAAACCCGATGGGCATGGGGACAGCTTTTGAGAGGTTATCAGATTTAAGATACAATGGTTCACTGGTCACATGATTATAAATAAATGTCATTGGCTAGATTATATTTATTATATATCTCCTTGGTCAAACAATTACCCAACAAACCGATATCTTATGAATATCTGATCTTTTGGATCAATTTTTTATCGGTTATAACAGGTTATCGGTTTTGACAGGATCAGTTTTGGGAGGAAATACAGTATAAGCAAAATTGGAGGTTAGATTATTGATGAAATTTCATGAACCCGTGGTTGGAGTTTGATAATTTTTGATTTGTCTCAATGAGACGAATCAAATGATATTTATATTATTAATTTCTAATCACTAGATCGCGAGGTATCTTCGATTAGTAAAATAAAATTTGAAGATAGCAAATTATTGATTAACGATCCTAGATTATTTATTGGACAGATTAACCATAAAGTCACAAATTTCAAATTTGGAGATTGTTTAAAGCCGTGTGTGTTAGAATTACTTTTTTGATGCAGTGGTTTGTATAGATATCAAGAATAAAGTTTATGTAGTATGTAGATCATTATATTTAAACGCAAGCGGCTTTAAACGACCCCAAATTTGGAAGTTAGTGTTGTCTATTGATCTGCAAAATCCTATATTGGGATTGTTTTGATAATGATCTGAAAATCAATAGGTTACTGTTGCCTTTTTAAGAGTCTGTAAACAATTTATTTATACTTCACATCGCGTTGGAATGTTTAAATACTTTTATATTCAAAAATATTTTTTAACCGTTTTTTTTTATTCTAATAGCAAAATTTTAGATATTTAGTATTTTCTCGTGTACATTGCCTGGGTATTTCGTCCGAATATGCGTTGGCTACTATTACCAAACAGAAAAGTGCGTTTTTTATTTTGCAAAGAAAGGGTAACTCATATGGACTTTCATAAGAAGGCTTCAGAGAATGACTGTTGGTTTATTAGAGAATTACTGTTTTTTGGATACTGGTAACCACTCCAGGCGTTCTAGATTCAGGTATCCTAATTTTGTTATTAGGGATGTTAACGGTCTGGTCTATGACCAGGCTATGTTAACATCTCTATTTAATAAGAATCTATTGATTTTATTATTCGCAAAGAAAGGATAACTTCTAGTAGACTTTCAGGAGAATCAACGGGAGAGTTCCTTATGAGGGTTTACTATGAAAATTACTGCGTTTGGATACTGGTAACCACTCCAGGTGTTCTAGATTCAGGTACCCTGACTTTGTTGTTAAAAAGAAACTACTAATTCAAGTAAAAGAATCAGTCATGCACCTATTCTTATTCTAAATAAAAACCGCACTAAGCATCTGTAAAATGAGATTAAAATACAGTATAACTGTTTTCTATGGTAAAACTAAGAGCATTTCTTATCATATTACGCTTAAGTCAACCGAAGAAATTAAATCCGATCGGTCAGTGTGATCATATCCTTTGTAACTACAAATCTTAAATTTATGTTACTAAATAAGGATTTATAGGATAAGTATATGTGTGGGTTCAGTGTATTTCGTTAGAATTAATAATGTAAGCGTTACTAATATTAGGTTTATTATTTTTTTTAAGATCAGATTACAGTAAGTGCATGCTCTGGAGTACGGTCGATAATAGAAATGTTAGAATCAATTTTCTTCTAAAGGCTAGAAATTGACTAAAAATCGGCTAGTAGTGTAGATTAAGTTGCGATAAATTGGCAAACAGCGAATATAATGTAAAGAAGAGAAATGTTCGGAATCATAGATGTAAAATATTAACGTGATGAAATTTTTCTCAAGGACAAAATTAAATAATTTAATATCACTAGAATCCGACAAGAAACTACCTGATGGCCTTTTACACGTTTAATATAGTTATATCGATCAGGAAAAATTACACCAACCGAGCTTTTTTATGACCCACGATTTTTTCATCACTACTCTGGTGACCAGATATAAGTTTACATTTAGTGAGGGTATGCATTTATAAATTCTTTTCTTTAATAACGAGATATAATTAAGTTTGCACTTAAAAATGTAAATTTAAAATATCAATTTTAAAAAATGAATTTTTTTTTGTTGATTAGAATTATATATAAATACATAGAAGAGATCATTTATATATCGCACATGCGGTATTATCGTGCTCCCTATACATTTTTTGTTTACATTTCGCATTATTTTTTCTTTTTTACTGTACAAATTTAATTCTTTCTCAGTTGCCCTTCCGTTTATTAGTCCATTCTTTTCCGTTGGTGTTGCGATTTCGTTGAAGTCGTTGTCGTTTTACTGGTGTTCCTCACATCTTTACTGGTACTTCTCGCGTCATTTACCACGTCGTTTACTGGTGTTTTACCGGTATAATCCTTTGTTGGCATCACGTCGTCTAATGGTGCCTCATTTGGTTGAAGTCATCATGTGCTGGTAAACCCTCCGCTGGTGTCATCGTGTTTTCATTTGTTTTCAGGCTAGGCTTACAGTAGAGCTAGAAGGTAAGTTTTCTTTTTTTACTCAACAGCAACGTGTTGTTCTCTTGGATTGAAAGTATAGATAATGTTAGCACCAGCACTTTACAATAACAACATGCTGATTTCTTTGAATCTTGCTTTTAATAAACTAGAACCCGAAGAATTAGAATGAAAGCAATGCGCAGGTGCACCTTGCAACAACAACGTATTGGCTTTTGGATACTAGATTAGAAGGAAAAAAAGCATCAGCTAATGCACTCTGCAACAAAAAACCATCTTATCCTGGATCAGAAGGAGGAAAAGCATTGACAGGTACATTTAATGCGCAGTCTACGTGTGAGTATATCCACCAACAATATATATGTACTTACAACTAATGAAATTCTGGATAAATGGCCTGTCGAAGAAATAAATGTCGGGTAAATGAGCGTCTATTATCCGAATAGCTAAATTTAATTTTTTTTTGATTTTGGATTTTACATAATAAATAAAAAAATGCTTCTGATAAAACTTTTTAACACCTCAGCTAATTTTTATCAAATTTATATATGTAGTTTAAACTAGTTTTTTTTATAATAGTGAAGTTGCGGGATATGCATTGCTTTAAAAAAAAATAAACTTCACATATAATCAAAGTTTCCGGGTCGCTTTGATAGTTCTTATTGGTCAAATCGTATGATGTTTATATCATATATATGATATTATATGATTTACTAATAAAATGTATCTTCCCCAGGAGCGCCAACAAATTTTTTACCATCACGTGATATTCGACAAAATTCTTTAAGTTCGTTATGTTAGGGTTAGGGTCTATTTTAGTGTTATAATTGAAGGTTCTAACAGTAAAATCGTTCAAGAAAACCTGCGCTTGTTTTGAATTTTTCTGATCGCGTAACGTTACACCAAATTGATTATCACATGATGGTAGAAATTGCATTCAACCGACTATTCACAATGACAAACAGATCGTTTGCTATACGAAAATACCTGAACCTTTCAACAAATAGCGATAGAGTCTTCTTTTTCAACTTAGAACAGATGTTTTATTGATATTTCTTATTTTTTTGTAGAGAGCTAAGAAAAGCTCTTTTGGTAAGCATTTCGTTTTTTGTTTTTTATGATAGCATCTGTTCATATGGGCAAAGGTTTGGAA